ACAAAAAACCAATATAACGTATTCTAACTCTACCCTCTTGATCAGAATATCTCTCTGGGATCTCTGAAAGCTCTTATCAGGATCTATATCTTTTGTTGCGTGTTATGCCTAATTTATAGGCCAAAGTTGCAGCCTTTGGATACCTTACTTGTCGCTGACACAAAACAATTTATTCCTTATCAATTATTTTCCTTAACATTTGCTTATTGCCTTATCAAGCCTTTAGCTTGCGCATTAAGTCATCCATGGGGCCAAACAATTGACCACTACAATTGAATCATTCAACCAATGAAATTCTGCTAAAATCCCAACAATCTCCACCTTGACAAAATTTTTCCACCTTGACACAAATGATAAAACATTACCATAAAGAGTCTTTCTCCACCAGAATGTAAGTAAAAAAACACCATCATCATCGCCATCGAAAAACCAAATTAATGAAGAATTTTAGTTAAGTTTGAGTAATCCTCAAACCTAACCCTAGAGATCTCCTTCTTCAACCCAAACACGTCTTGTGCAGCCACAAACATGCCTCCAGTATTTTTGTCAAACTCTAAATGCTTATTAAAAACACCCTGGGAAACTCTAAGTTTGACATCTCCTCTTGCAACCTTCGCCAACCGCCTAAAAACCACCGGTTGGTAATGAAAAGTCACTTTTTCACCTTTGTGGAGAATATGACGTCCCTAACTTTCCCTCGCATCTCTAATGTGATAAACTACTTGTTTCCCATGAATCTTAATGGCACTCAAATGGGCTATGTTATTGCCACTAAGATTGTTACAAGTCCCCACCGTATCTGTCCTCATGGGTCTACCTCCTTGCAAGGACTGCTGCAATTTCGGTTGCCATCTGAAAATAAATTTCATTATCCTATAACGTTGTATAGCCCCCTCACAACCCTTTTGAGAACTAAGATCGTCACTCTTTTCTGTAACTGTTCCTTTTCCAACACCCGAATGCAGATTTCTGCTCACTGTAGAAGACCACATAATAGCTCCACCTGTTACTGTATTCCTTTGGAGAATAAACAAGTTTCCCACCTTGATTCCTTGTAATAACACAAGAGAACCCATCACGACCCTCATAACTCCACCATCTGTTACAACCTTGTGAACTTTGGAATCTAGCACACCTACTGAAATAAGGCTCTTCTTCAAATCCGATACATGTCGCACACCTGGCAATGTTCTCACCAACCTATCGTGCGTCTTGATCTTGATTGTTCCAATTCCTAACATTTTGAAGGCTTTTCCATCCGCCGTCAAAATAGAACCACATATCACCTCTTTGTAGGAGGAGAAAAAATCCTTACGGGGACATATATGAACAGAACAATCCGAATCAAGAATCCAACTGTCATTAAATGACATACTTGAACACAAAGTTTCCATAAGAACATAATCATCATATTTTGAATCACTCGTTGTAGTAGTTACCACAGAATCTGCCTCTTGAACCTTTTTTTTGCCATTCCCATTCTTTGCCTTCAGTTTGGGACATTGCATAATGATGTGCCCTAACTCATGACAGTAGTAACACTTATTGTCCTTGAAATTCCTTAATTTGGACCTAGAACTATTTGAATTTGAGCCTCGATTTTCTATCCTCCCCCTTGTAGCTAAGATCGTGTCCTCTCCGTCTTTGTTAATCTCCAACACTTTACTCATATTCTTATGAGAGAGAAATGTTGATTTGACCTCATAGTAGTCACCAAATGATCATACCTCGTGGGAAGAGAAACCAAAAGAGTCGAGACTTTGTCTTCATCATCCATTTTTACCTCCATGTTTAATAGTTCCGAGAGAAGCCTATTAAACTTGTTAAGATGGTCTTGCATCGTAGAACTTTCCTTTATGCTAAAACGGTAGAACTCTTTCTTGAGATTGATCCGATTTGTAAGCGACTTTTTCAAATAGAGTTATTCAAGCTTTTCCCAAATCTCCTTTGCTGATGTCTCTGTCATCACGTTATGCTTGATCTCCTTTGACAAACACAAATCGTGGAACAAGCTTCTATAGAAAGCTTTTCCCATTCGTCTTCTTCGTTGGATCAGGATTATCATCAAAGGTTTTTATCAAACCTTCCTTAACGAGAATATCCTTCACCTCAACCTGCCACATCCCAAAGTTGTTCTTTTCATCAAATTTCTCAACTTCATATCTCATGGATTTGGAAGCCATCCCAAAAGACCCTAGTTTGTAACCTAGGCTCTGATACCATTTGTTGGGCACAACGGAAGTCTCTGACACCAATCTGTTGGGCAGCAACAGAAACCCAAACAAATATACACACAATGATGGCAAATCCTATAACAGAAATATATGAATAAAGATGAAAAGAAACACACCACAAGACAAGATTTATACTTGGTTCACCCTCACAAATAGGGCTACGTCCACAGACGATAATAATTCATATCACTATATAGAAGAAGATTACAAATTGAAGAACGTTTTGATTCTTCCAGACAATAATCACTTTTCTCACAACAAAACGTCACCCACCAAATGAAGAAAAGCTCACTGAACGCTCTCAAGAAAAATCTCCAATAATTATATGGTTTACATAAAGAAGAAAACCCACCCAAAGACAAATTTCAAATATCTTTCTTGAAGATTGCATACACAAAAGAATTTTTTCACACAAAAAACCAATATAACTTATTTTGACTCTACCCTCTTGATCAGAATATCTCTCTGGGATCTCTGAAGGATCTCAGCGGGATCTATATCTTTTGCTGCGTGTTATGCCTAATTTATAGGCCAAAGTTGCTGCCTTTGGATACCTAACTTGTCGCTGGCACAAAGCAATTTATTCCTTATTAATTACTTTCCTTAAAGTTTGCTTATTGCCTTATCAAGCCCTTAGCTTGCGCATTAAGTCATCCACACGGCCAAACAATTGACCACCATACTTGTATCATTCAACCAATGAAATTCTGCCAAAATCCTAACAGATTCTTATTATCTGAAGAAAAAAATAATAATACTATCAATTAGAATTGCAATATTGGTAGGTCTTCCAAGTTAGTTGATATTATTTCAATTAAAACTCATTGATAATGAATTAATTAAGACAATTTTTAAAATACAATGTGATAGTATAAAATGTAGAATATTTAATCATCATTTTTCCCTCTTCTTTTATATCTTAATTTTTGATCTCTCTGTGTGCATGCATAAGCGTGTTTGTTTGTGCCTGACTTGTATTAACTAAAAGAAACAAAAATCAACTAGGAGTATGTATAAATGACTATTTTTTTTTTTCTTGATCTGAAAATTAATAGAAAAATTAACCTTAGGAAAACTCTTAGGCCTTGGCTTTTTATTGTTGAGTGTGTGTGTGTGTGTATATATATATATATACGGACTATGTTGTTATTGTATAAGTTAACTAGGATGTATATGTGTATCAAGTCTCTATTTGGGATGTAGTAGAGTAGAACTTATTCGTGAGCCTGACCCACTTTTATTTTTCAGGTGTTCGTCGGTGTAGAGATTGTTCGTGCGGAGCAGAGAATAATCTTCATTAGTCTTTCGATTATCTATGAAGAATTCTACATTATACTTTCAGACTTTGGATTTAGTTATTTATTTTAGTTATTGTTTTAGTTGGGATTTTATTAGGGGTCTACATTATGGATTCCCAAGTTGTAATATAAGGGATTATTGGTATTATTTGGAGGATTATTTTTATTGGGATATTATTTTGAAGAATTTAATATTAGTTTCCTTTCAGCTTTATTATTTATTTATCTTTTGTAATCCGTGCTTGTTTATTATTTTAATTGTTTGATTATCCCTCGGTGTCGTGTACGAACCTGATCAACCCGTGTTCCTGAATCGAGGGGTATCACAAACTTTGACATAGCGAATGAGTGAAACTTAATTAGGAGTTAGACATTATTAAGTTGTATGATTATCGTATCATCCTAAAGTCAAAATTTTAAAAAAATAGAAATTCGAAAAATGGCAAAAAATGTAATTTTTGAAATTTTTGTCATTTATATTAAAATGCCATATACATCTTTTAAGTTCAAATTCAAGAATTAACAAAATAAATAAGATATCTTCCTAACAAGAATAAATGAAATGTCCCTTTTCAAAATCCTCAAAGGATTCAACATTGGAGGAACATGCATTTCTTTTCATTTTCAATTTCTCATTTTATCTTTGATAATTTGATAGCCCATTGGAAAGTAATGCTCTTTTTGAGAGCTACATTTTTTAAAACTATGTTCTCTAATTCTAAGTGAGCTTTTCAAATGTAATTTCAGGTTTCTCATAAAAATGCAATACATGAAGAAGAATATTTTTCAATCACTAAATACATACATTAAAAATAAATTTTCCTAATCAATAAATATTTGTACCAAGTAAAGAAATAATATGAGAAACACACAATAAATACGTTTTCGTTGACACCATACCGGTTTTATTGGTAGTGACGTCGCCGATACCACACCGGTGTCATGTATAGTGACGCCACCAAGGACGGACCCAGATAACTATGTGAGTAGGGGTGGTCTTTAACAACAATCATATAAAAAATGTCGTGAGATTAATAATAGGATTTTTTGTAATTTTAGTTGGGGCAATTTTAAAATTTTAGGAGTATATATTAGAGAAAAGAGAAAATCAACGGTATATAGTTAGAAGGAAAAAAAATTTTCAGTGGAAGTATATATTAGAGAAAAGAGAAAATCATTGGTATATAGTTAGAAGAAAAAAAAAAAATCAGTGGAACTAGTAAGAATAATTTCACTACAGAGTTTAATATATACTAGTTATGAAACAAAAAAAAAAAAAAAAAAAAAAAATTCTGATTTCTTTTAATCAAAACAGCAAGAACTATTCCTCCTTTTTCTTTCTTTCTTTCTTCTTTTTCTTTTTCTTTTTCTTTTTTTTTTTTAAAAAAAGAAAAGTAAATCACAAGATTCACAAGAACTATTTAGTTGTAACCATAAACAATATATTAATACATAGAATAGACCCACCCATTACCACTATCCAAAACAAACCAAATGTGAACACGCCCACCATGTGTTAAAATGCCTCTATCCTTTGTCTTCCTTCCATTTTCGTCATCCTAACTAACAAGACTTCTCTTCTCCGCCACCGTTCTTGTGACATGTCGGCGACCAACTCCTCTTCTCTTCTCCGTCACTTTCTCTCTCTACTCATCTCTCTCCTTTTCCTCTCGACCACCATCTATTCAGACGACCGCCAAACACTCCTCAAAATCAAAACCGCTCTCCAAAATCCCAACACTAATGTGTTTGATTCCTGGGAATCGAACAATTCAATATTCAATTTCGCGGGAATCACCTCTAATCCAGATGGGTCCGTCACAGAAATCGAACTTTCGAATAAAAACCTCACTGGTGTCCCTCCTTTTGGCTCCATTTGCGAGCTCAAATCACTTGAAAAGCTCTCTCTCGGATTTAATTCACTCTATGGACGAGTAACAGAGGATTTGAACAACTGTGTTCGATTGAAGTACTTAGACCTCGGCAACAATTTGTTCTCCGAAGAGGTTCCCAGTATATCATCGATGAACAAATTAATGTTTCTGTATATGAATCAGAGTGGATTTTCCGGCACCTTCCCGTGGAATTCTCTAGAAAACATGACGGGTCTGGTCCAATTGTCTCTCGGAGACAACCCATTTGTTAGAACTCCGTTTCCGATGGAGGTTGTGAAGCTGACCCAATTGAATTGGCTCTACCTTACAAATTGTAGCATAGAGGGTCGAATTCCGCGGGAAATTGGGAATTTAACAGAGCTTATTAATCTCGAGCTATCGCAGAATTTTCTCTCCGGTGAAATTCCGGTGGAGATTTCCAAACTTGGTAAGCTATGGCAGCTGGAGCTGTTCCAGAATGAGTTGACCGGAACACTCCCTGTTGGGTTCAGAAACTTAACGGGTCTCCAAAAATTTGACGCTTCAACGAATTATCTTACAGGTGATCTCTCGGAGCTCAGGTTCTCGACTCAGTTGGTGACTCTGCAACTCTTCGAGAACGAGCTTACTGGCGAGGTTCCGGTGGAGTTTGGGGAGTTCCGGCAACTGGTGAACTTGTCGTTGTACACGAACCATCTCACTGGTTCGCTGCCTCCGATGCTCGGGTCGTGGGCGGACTTCGATTTCATTGACGCGTCCGAGAATTTTCTGACCGGCATGATACCGCCCAATATGTGCAAGAATGGGAAGATGACGGAGCTTTTGTTGCTTCAGAATGAACTTTCCGGCGAAATTCCAGCGAGTTATGCGAATTGTACGTCGTTGACACGTTTTCGGGTGAGCAACAATTCGCTTTCTGGCGTAGTTCCTAGTGGAATTTGGGGACTACCCAATGTCAATATAATTGATATAGAATTGAATCAATTCGAAGGTCCAATTACGTCCAATATTGGGAGTGCAAAGTCTTTGGCGCAATTATTCACCGCCAACAATCGATTATCCGGCACCTTACCGCCGGAGATTTCGGATGCTACCGCATTAGTATCGATTGATCTTAGTTACAATCAATTTTCGGGCGATATTCCGACAAAAATTGGCAACCTTCAACAACTAAACAGTCTTCATTTGCAGAACAACAAGTTTTCCGGCGTAATTCCGGCGAGTTTAAGCTCTTGTGATTCTCTCAGCGATTTAAACATGGCAGAGAATTCACTTTCCGGCCAAATTCCAACGTCAATAGGGTCTTTCAAGACTCTAAACTCCTTAAACTTGTCCGGAAATGAACTCTCCGGTCAAATTCCGGTGAGTTTGTCATCCCTGAGGCTGAGCCTTCTTGATCTCTCGTACAACCATTTAACCGGACCCATACCGGAATCTCTTAGGATCGAAGCATACAACGGCAGCTTCACCGGAAACAATGGCCTCTGCAGCACTCAGAGCATCAAGCACTTCCGGCAGTGTTCGTCAGATTCCGGCCTGTCCAAAGACCTCCGGACCCTCATAGTTTGCTTCTCAATTGGGTCATTTGTTTTGTTTGTCTCACTTGGGTGTTTCTTTTACTCAAAGAAGAGTCAAAAAGATCATGAACATGAACATTCTTTGAAGGAAGATTCTTGGGATGTTAAGTCATTCCATATATTGAGTTTCACAGAATCTGAGATTCTTGACTCAATCAAGCAAGACAATCTAATAGGAAAAGGTGGATCTGGAAATGTATATAAAGTTGCTTTAGCAAATGGGAAAGAATTAGCTGTGAAACACATATGGAACAACTCCGATTCCGCCAGCCGGAAAAGGTCCCGGAGTAGTTCTCCGATGCTAGCAAAAAAGGCCGGAAAGTCACTGGAATTTGATGCCGAAGTAGAGACGTTGAGCTCAATCCGGCATGTGAATGTGGTGAAACTGTATTGCAGCATTACTAGTGAGGACTCGAGCTTGTTGGTGTATGAGTACTTGCCTAATGGGAGTTTATGGGATCGACTGCATACTTGCCAAAAGATGGTGCTGGACTGGGAGACGAGGTTTGAGATCGCTGTGGGGGCGGCGAAAGGGCTGGAGTATTTGCATCACGGCTGTGACCGGCCGGTGATCCACCGGGATGTTAAGTCCAGCAACATTTTGTTGGACGAGTTCTTGAAGCCTAGGATAGCTGATTTTGGACTAGCAAAGATTGTTCATGCCAATTCTAGCAAGGATTCAACCCATGTCGTTGCAGGAACACACGGATACATCGCTCCCGGTAAAGCACAATTTCATATTAAGTTTGGAAGTTCAACAGTCGGACACGTCTGGTTAATTTTATGGGAGTAAAGGCTGTTGTCATCATGACATTATGATGATGTCAGCCGTCACTCACATAAATCTGTTGGACTTGTCCGACTTTCGGACTTCAAATCATTATCCTATTTTGAATTTTGAACATTAATTTTTGATACTGATTAGTGTTTTTGTGCCACCATTGATTGTGTAGAGTATGGCTACACTTACAAGGTAGACGAGAAGAGCGATGTGTATAGCTTCGGAGTTGTTTTGATGGAGCTTGTAACGGGGAAGAGGCCGATTGAGCCGGAGTTTGGAGAGAACAAGGACATAGTGAATTGGGTATGCTGCAAGCTGAAGACCAGAGAGTCTGTGTTAAGCATGGTGGATTCAAATATCCTAGAAGCTTATAAAGAAGACGCAATTAAGGTCCTGAAAATCGCCATTCTCTGCACCACAAGGCTTCCACAGCTAAGGCCGAAAATGAGAAGTGTGGTTCAGATGCTAGAGGAAGCCGAGCCTTGTAAATTGCACAACATCATAGTTAGTAAAGATGGTGCTGTCAAGGAAGAGGTATTGAAGGGTGGTGACAAGGTTTAATCCATGCCCTAGATGTTCAAAAATGGTCAATTGGAGATGTTTTGTAATATATATACATATATATATATATAATATGATATAGCCTTATATATCTCTGTAACAAATTGAGTAGAGGGCCTAGTAATGCTTGTCATTAGTGTACAATAAGTTGTGACATTCTCGCTCTTGTTTTTGTATAATCACTAAAAGTAGTAGGAAAAAAAAATTCCAACCTTGAATGAAATGTTGGATGTTTGTTCCCTTTGATAAAATGGTTTGGTTTGAGTTGGTTTGATTCTCTTTTAAGATCTGGACGGAGGGAGTTGGAGCAAGAGCAACCGACACCAATTGGTGGAGCTAAAGCTAACAAGGTCTCCCAAACGCGATGGCCAACATATATATATATATATATATATATATATATATATATATATATATATGCACATACACGTGCAAACTGAGTTAAATAAGTAAGATTGCAAGCAAAAGAGACGATTGTCATAAGTTTCATAACTAATGTCTTCCACAGATTCGTCAATCTTCAAAAATTGTTTTTGCCCACAAAACAAAAAAGCAAAAATCATTGCAATTACAGAGGCTACCAAAATTTTAGGGCTGGCATGTGATCATCATTTGATAGCTCTTTTAATTTACTCAATCTCTATTTTATTTGTCTTCAATTTTAATTTACAAGTCCAGTTATTCGATTGGTCTGAAAATTAATTTGTGTTGATAAAACTTGTAGTAGTTATCGACGCACCACCAAAGATAATAATTTAATGGTTTCTCATCTACCTTTAAAGAAAAATACTAAAGGTTCAAATCTTTACAAGAATAAGTGAGTGCGTGAGTTTTTTTCTTGTCAATGAATGAAAAATAAATAAATAAAAACAAAAACCTTAGTTACATTAGATAAATTAGCCAACAACTTTCCCTTTTATCATGGGCTTTTTCAAATGCCCATTCATTTGCGGTATTAGTTGTTGATAATCTCTAAATAATGGGCTAGTTTGAGGCCTAGACAAGTCGAGCCCAAACATTGATCAAATTTATAATAAACCATAGGAAAGCACTTTTAGCCCAGCATTAAGCCCAATTTATAACAGGTAGGCTTGGAATTGTAACAATTGAAATAGCCCAAGTGTTAATTCCGCTACTTAATATTCTTTAACCTACATTATAAATCTATAAATAACTTTCTTTGTTGGTAGATTGCAAGTACGAAACAAACTAAACATTTGCATTATTTTGCAAAAAGTGGCTGCTCTTGCACTCAAACCGGCTTTTTGACGCTTGTCAACCCAAGCTTCTACTTTGTTATAATATTGCCATTTAAATTCTAAGTTTAATGCATATCTCTCGGCTAGATGTTAGGCTACATGCGTCGATCGGGACTTGTAGATATTATTTTTTGGTTCGACTCTTATGACTTGTGCACGCTCTTAAAAAAATATGGGATGTCACAATCTAAACCAACTCCCCAGTTTAGCATTCTCTCTAGACGGACATACTTTTCTATTTTCGGCTGTAGATATTGTCATATTTACACATTTTTCGTGCTCAAGATTTTTATAAGAAGTAACTACACATATAAAAGGTATGTAAGAAACGTCACAACAGGTGTAATTGTGTATATTAATAAAGAAACTACTACATGAGGTTAAGATCTGAAATTGACTAGATTAATTGATTTGATTTGAGATCAAGAGTCTCCAATGCCTTTGCTTGGAATGATTTTTAACCATATTCTTTCTTTCCCAATTTAAAATTTACAATTGAGGCAATGTAACTATAACATAAATACTATTATTATTATTATTATTTATTTATTTATTTTTGTTTATCAGTGTTAATGTTATCGTTAGACTGCATCAGCTGTAAAGGAAAAATGTCACCAAATTCAATTGCGTGTCAAGGATTCGAATCCTCAGGACCTCAGAGGATGTCAGGATTGTTGTTATAAACTAACATTATCATATTTGGAACATGACCTAATTTGACCATAACGCATTACAACTTACATAATTTTAATTCAATTGCACTCAGGTGTAGTGCTGAGGACTCTACATACGGTTTGCGTAGCATGAGTAAACTTGAGTTCTACAGTCTTTTTTTTCGGTAAATAAGTTTTAGAGTGTTTTACATGAAGATTTTAGACTATTGAAAAATTGATAGAAGTTGATAGGTTAAAAGAAAATTGTAGAATTGTAGAGAGTTTTTGTAGTGTTTGTAAATATCCAAGAATATTTAAATGAACTTATAGAGAATTGTTACTAACCATTAATTATAAGCATTTTAGGTAGTGAGATACCTATATAAGGTGGAAGTTTATAACCGTATGAATAAGAAGCAACAGTATGCAAAACCACACGTTAGTGTAAAATCATACGGAGAATTGAGTCCTTAACTTCTCACTGCTAGTTCCATTATGAGTTAAATATGATGTAGGAGGTGAAAAGATATGAGTGCTATAAGGTTTGTACATGTACAATCAAGTTCCCATGATATTAGGTTGTTTGTATTAAACACTTCAACAAAATCCTTTTTCAAAGTCAGTTTTTCTGTTAGGGTAATGATATTTTCTGTTATGATTAGATTGAGTTGTATAACTTATATTTGTTTTCCTCCTTGCAAACAAAAAAAATGATAATAATATTTTATGGTATGTCCCAAAATACAGTATAAGCTAAATTATAGTCTAAGGCCTAGCCAAATCGAGCCCAATCTAAACAGACAAGCTTGGGATTATTCCAGTTGAAATAGCCCAAATTCTAAATTTCGTCCTTTTCCTTTGTGGTTGCAAATGCTGTTGGTTTAGTCTTTAACCTCTGGTTATAAATTCATAAATAATTTTCTCGTTGGTAGTTTTATAGGTAATTGCATGTATATGTTTTGTTTCAATAGTGTCATTTAAAATCTAAATTTAGGGCATGGTCTCTATTAGATGCTAGGCTACATGTGTGTATTAATACTGAAACCATAGTGTTAAACATATGAAATTGACTGGATTAATTCATTCAATTTATGATCAAAACTCTTTGATGTAATGATTTTTAACCAGATTCCATAATTGTAAAATTAGAAAGTCGAAATTATTAAACGAATATATGGAACAATATTTGTCTACACATAGTTGAGCCACATGTTCTTTTAAAATATGTATTAAAAAAATAATAAAAACCCTTTAATTTTTCATTATCTAATAAATTATACAATTTGATTGTCTTTTTAAAATAGACACATGTCATATCTAAAGATTTATACCAATTTCATTATCTGTATTATTGTTGGGAGAGAGCAACTCCATTATGTGAAACTTGTTAAATATTACAAGAATTTTATTCATAATTATGCTGATGAATGGATTCTCAAAAAGAAAAATCCTTTTTTATTTTTTTATTTTTATCGAAAAGAAAGACACAGAAAAATTAAATCAACTTATAAGAAATTGTAACGTCGGATTGAGCAATTTCCCAGCTGACCAAATCAACACCCAATTCAATTACAATTAATTAATTAATTACTAAATAAAGCTGGTTAAAATAGAAAGATACGAATTTTTTCTTTTCCTTTAAAAAATAAACTTTTCACATATATCTTTGGCTGCATAAACTTATAGACAGCACTGAAAAAAAACCACGAGGGAGTCTAGAATGGAGCTTAAATAGTCTATTATGGAATTTCTATTCATATATTAAATGTATGATCGTTTGAAGTTTCTCAAATTGAACTAATGACATGCTTGGTCTCAGTAACACGCATCAATTTTAATATTGAGAGACTGATTGTGTGAACGGTGATAAATTCAAAATTTTATTTAGAGGGAGAGGACACATGCATTAAACAAGATAATCCATGGTGTAAATTAGCTTTAATAAGTGTGTGGGAGTACAAATATTCTCTTGTTTGACCTCAACATCTTGGATTGTACTGCAAATATTCTCTTGTTTGACCTCAACATCTTGGATTGGCTATGCAGGATCAACAATAATAGTTACATGGACAGTCATTCAGAAAATATTTGCAGAGAATTGGAGTAACATGACACCAACACCCACAGGTGAAACCAAGCTCTAAAGGTGTTGCATCCTGTCTATTTGTAAGGAAGGTGTCCCACTCACGCGACACGGTTTGTGTCGAGGACTGTACGTGTTGACCAAAATATGATTTAAGTATATTATATACTATAGTATTATTTATTCAAATATTATTTGTAAATATAAAATAATAATTTATAAATATATAATTTTTTATAATATATAATTTAATATAATAAAATAAAATTATAAATGAACCTGATTAAAAGTCGAGGCTAGAATTTGACTTTATGTCCTTAAGACAGATTCATCCTACTATGGTGCTAACGGATTTTCAGTGGCGTTTATTTTCCAGAATATAACGATTTGTCTTCCTTCGGTAGTAGCATTGCAAATCAAAGGAATAGGCGAACCGGCTCGGTAAAGTACTCTTTGACTCGAACTTGGACTTGGAATGACTGACTAAGGCTCGAACCCACATACTAGAGAGAGAAGAAGGAAGAAGAAAATTCAGAAGAAGAGAAAAATTCTCTAAATTTTGGTGTGATTTGCAAATGATCCAAAGGGAGTATTTATAGGTAGCAAGGTGCCTTTTCGGGTGGGTGCAACCATGTGTTATGATGGTTCGAAAAAAGGTGCAACCCTTGGTAAAAAAAACTAAAAAGTGATTTTTTAATTTAAATTCAAAAAACCAACCACCCAAAAACCAACCATTTGCGAAACCCATTAATAAGCCCAGCCCAAAAATAGGCCCAATCCAAAATTTCATTTAGTAAAAAGAATAACCGGACTTTACAATTAGGCTCAAGCCTAAGCCCAAAACCAAACCCAAGCTTGACTTATTTAAACTTCAATTGGTTTCAACATTTTTTTCCATTTAGGCTTATCAAACACCTCACTTTGGATCTAATTTCTCATTCACCTGGAAACGAATTTGAGAAAGTAAATATACCACGTTCATCTCCTTGCGGAGAGGAACGCACTCATCTGTAAATCCGAAAAAATTCTTAGCGGAATCTATTCCAATTCTCATCCAAAGTTTATATTTTTAATGCCTTCGTTTTCAACAATCCCCCACATGAATGAAAATTTGCGCAGATTACAAATGAAGAAGATACAGACACTGGAGAGAGTACTATTAGAAAGTAACTGTATCGGGATAGGTAACTTTTGGCCTTGAACCTTCCCTAGTGTATTACTATCGGATTTACTGGCTAACCAGTGAACATGATGTCATGAACCGTTCAGCCGTTGA